CTATTATTATTATTACTATTATTATTTCTTTTTTTTTTTTTTATTATGTTGGGTGGAGATAAATGATATTTTTTTTTGGCAAAAGTTATTAATCCAATTTTATTATTACATACATACGAACATAGATTATCATTTATATGAATTATATGATTTTTTTTTACTCTTCACATTGAACCATATTTTCAATAATTATCTTTAATAGAACTGTATAACATTCATTTAATGCATTTTACATATAGTCGTCACATATATCGTTATAAAAAATACATTATATATATATATGTATATATATATATTAAAGGACTTGCCAATACATATATGAATAAGATAGGATCTGATGAAAGATCTAAATGATATAACTTAAGATTATTAATTTGATTGAATTACATATAGTAGAATTATTAGTAAATCTATATATATATATATTTGATTTTGATCCTATATGTATATATACATATTTAATTTATTATTATTTTCGAAGGGAAAAAAAAATATATTTTTTTAAATCGGGATAATATTTTCCTGTGCTCTGACCAAAAATACATCGGTCTGTTCTACAGGATTACAATGGACTATTATGGAGCACACATATCCACGTTTCGCTCTGTCCTCGTGTCAAACGAATCTGTCGATCCAAGCGTCATCAGCGTTTACAACGCCTGAAATAACAACTTCTTCGACGATCAGCGATCAGTACTCTGGTACCAGCACCACTGGTTCCAGTTGTGCCCTGACGAATTATCCAAACTCATCGTCGCACGGGACCTCGTCGTTACAGCATACATCATCCTCCTCGTCGAGTGGTGGTGGTGGTGGTGGTGGAGGTGGTGGAGGCGGCGGTGGCGGTGGCGGCGGCGGCGGAGGAGGAGGGGGCCCACCCCCCTCGTCAACACAGTGTCCGAGTAATTGCCAGAGTCCCTGCGCCAGTCCGCAAACTGCTATTAAAAGGAAAAGATCGACAAATCCACAAGCTGATGAGAACTTTATTAGAGCTCTCGATGCTGTGCGATACGGTGGTATAGGGTTTTGCAAAGCTGCCAGAATGTTCGGTGTAAACAATCGAACACTTTGGCTTGAATACAAGAAACGTGGTTATCCCAATAATCGTCCTAGCTTAAAGTCAAGAGTGAAACAAGAAGTTAATTCCTCACCACCGCCTGCACAATCAGCCCAACCTGTTAATTCGCAAAGTCCAACCCCCATGGGGCCACCATCGACTCCGCACAGTACACACAATACTCATAGCACTCATACTATGTTAACCACTCATAGTCCTCATACCATGTTAAGCGGTTACATTGATAGCAGGCATACGGACTATGCATTACCAAGTACTACCATGCCAATTAATTTACACGGAGTTAATTATAATGCCATGTGAGCTGAATCACGATCGGATTATTATTTGTATGTATAAATATTATGTGAGAGAGAGAGAGAGAGAGAGAGATAAAGAAAGATCAAGAGATAAAGCTTTTCTCAGATGACATATATCTTACATTAGATTAGTGTCATCTCTTTCAAGCTGAAATTTTATTCATGAAAATTATTTATCGATTTATAAAGAGCTCGATGAATGATACCGCATCGCGAAAATAAAAAAGAAAGAAAGAAAGAAAGAAAAAGAGGAGAGAAAAGCAGTAGAGCAGAGGAAACAAAACAAAGATAAGACGAAAATCTAAAATCACAGATTTTTGTCGCATATTCGTATACTCGTAAACTCGAAATAATATTGGATTTTTACCTGTGGTTGGTGCAATCCAATACTTTGTATACACAAAAGATTTTTTATATTAGGAGGCCTCTAATGAAATCTCATTAATAATTAATTGGCTGATTATATCGCATTTCTCCCTAGACGAGGGAATGATAAAGCGAGTGAGAGAATCGGATAACAAAATTTGTAAATTAAATAACTTATTATTTATAATTCGTTCACATTATTAAAATTAGCGTTGTTTTGATAGTATTGTGATATATATATATATATATAATATATATGGAAAGAAAAATGAAAAGGAAAACAAAAAAAAAATAACACAGAACAAAAAAAGAAACGAAAGGAAAAACCTTGCGAACTAATATTCTCTACTTTTGTAGAAATTACAAATAATTTGTAATTTTAAAATATTATAAATATATATTATAGAAGAAAGAGAGAGAAAGAAGGAAGCAAAAAATGGAGAGGGAGAGGGAGAGGGAGAGGGAGGGAGAGAGAGAGAGAGAGAGAGAGAGAGAGAGAGAGAGAGAGAGAGAGAGAGAG